TGGTTGTGTTTGTGCATGTCCTCCCCTGTGTGTGTAATGTGTGTAAACACAACTGAGTGGGGAAAGAAATGTCCCTGAAAGGGATTAATAAAGTATGTCTTCTTCTTCTTCTTCTTCTTCTTCTTCTTCTTCTTCTTCTTCTTCTTCTTCTTCTTCTTCTTCTTCTTCTTCTTCTTCTTCTTCTTCTTCTTCTTCTTCTTCTTCTTCTTCTTCTTCTTCTTCTTCTTCTTCTTCTTCTTCTTCTTCTTCTTCTTCTTCTTCTTCTTCTTCTTCTTAATCTTTAAGCACCAAAACTTAAACTACTTCTTATGCATAATTGCCCATTTCAGAATTGAGTTACAGGGTTTCTATTTTTTTTAACAACTGTAGAGCTAATTTGAATTACTTGATATACTGCTGCTGGCTATCTTAACCTATAAATATGGTACAAGTTTATTCAATCATTGAATTAGATTTTGTATTAGCTAATAATATAACCTAAAAAGTAGATAGTAACCAAAGCTGTCAAATAAATGTAGTGTAAAAAGTACAATATTGGCTTCTAAAATGTAGTGGAGTAAAGTAGCGTAAACTAAAAATACTCCGAAAATTACCTCAGTACCTCAAAATTGTACTTAAGTATACTTGAGTGAATGTACTTTTGTACTATCCAACACTGGGGATTACATTTATGTATTTACCATGTGAATACCCCTTATAACAAACACTTCTTTGTCCCTCCATCCAGGGAATCAGTGGTGAACAGGGTGATGAACAAGTTGTCTCCTCTCCATGACAAGATCTACTGTGCTCTGTCAGGCTCTGCAGCGGACGCCCAGACCATCGCTGAGATGGTCAACTACCAGCTGGATGTTCACAGGTAACTACACACTCAAAGAATTGAAAAGATATCAGCTGGCTTTCCTAGTGTCCATAACTCAAACACCACACACATTGTTTGTCTCTTTGTTTTTATGAAAGACCCTGTCACCTATGTTTCTTTATGTCTTTCTTTATCAGTATTGAAATAGATAAGGACCCAAAGGTTTGCTCGGCTGCCACCCTGGTGAGGAACATCTCATACAAGTACAAGGAGGAGCTGTCAGCACATCTCATTGTGGCCGGCTGGGACAGAAGAGATGGAGGACAGGTCAGTAACACAGGTTGGCTTAAACGCTGAGATCACTGAGAAAAATAATGTTAACAGACCATTTTGAAGTGTGCTTGTATGAGGTACATATCTATAATCTGTGTCTGGAGAATCCCACAGAGGTTACAGCAAAACAGAATTCAGCCACCTAAAAAGGCCCACATAAAAACATATGTTTTAAGTTTACGCTATATTTAGCATTTTTTCATGTCTTTAGCTTGCAGTAAGATGCCATTAAGCCACCATATTCTATTAAAAAAACATACCTTTTTGCTAATTTACAGTCTACTGATGACGCCTTAGACAAACAACTCCTGTGTTATATGAGGTCAAATTCAACAGAGTCTGGTGGCTTTGAAGAGAGCATATAACAGCTATGTTCCCACCCTGAAAGGGCTGTTTCATGGCAAGATTAATCAGCAAAAACCTTTTAAATATATCACTCACATAAACTGATATAGATTTTTAATGCTGGGTCTTTATTTTAGGTGGCTCAAATATTTTTTTTCTGACTGCCCCATCCACATTAGTACACTGCTTAGCATCCGTGCAGTAACTCCTGTCTGTTTCTCCAAACTAGGGGCTTTCAGAACACAATATTTGTAATCCTCTGACTAATTATAGAGATCTCATACAACCCCACTTCAAAAAATAAAAAAACTATCCATATAAAGGATCAAAGTAATGTACCTGCAACCTCTGCTTAAGTGACCCTGATGGTGCTCAATAGACTGACAGGCAGCTGCTGATGTAGCTGCTGATGTAGCTGCTGGATGCATTGAACAAAATATGTTCTCTAGCTAAAAGATGGGTGTCATAATAAGTGTCATATATGACAATAATGTGATCTGTCTTGCTCCTCTCTGCCCTTTGACCTTTTCTAGGTGTTTGCGACTCTGAATGGACTCCTGACCAGGCAGCCTTTTGCAATCGGTGGCTCTGGCAGCTCTTATGTTTATGGATTTGTTGATGCTGAGTATCGTAAGGACATGGCCAAGGAAGAGTGCCAGCAGTTTGTTATCAACAGTAGGTTTTTACCGCCCAGAAAGTTGTTGTTTTTTTGTCATAATTTTGTAGGATAGAGGAAGGGAAACCTGACACTTGTACTGGCTGCTTAGAAGAGCTATAGCTATTCAACAGTGTTATGTTGTATAAAACATTTTGTCCTATAAAGATTCTCCTCCAATCTCTTATCTTATTGTCTTTCTCTCTTGTAGCGCTGGCTTTGGCAATGAACCGCGATGGCTCCAGTGGCGGCGTGGCCTATATTGTCTCTATTGATGAACATGGTGCAGAGGAGAAGGTCGTTCTGGGAAATGACTTACCCACCTTCTTTGATCAGTGATCAATATTCATTTTTGCTCAGCTGCTAACTAACATATCTTGAAAAAGATATTGGACAAGACTACTTTTTACTTATACATTTAATCTTAACGTTTCTTCAAGTGAAATGTCATTGTTTATGTTATCTTAAAGCTGATGGTTCCCTCACATCATATAAACCTGATTTGGTTTATTATCTCACCAGAGTGTTGTTAGCTATGTCCCTTTACCAAGTTTTGGACAGCTTCAGGATAAGACACAGCAATTGTCACTATGTCCATCCTCAAATTATCTTTTTCTCTATAACCCCTGAGTCACCAGATGCCAATTACATATTTTAAACTTGTTGCAAGACTCATTATTCAGTCCATGAATCTGAAACATGACAAAATGACTACCAATGTGTGTGTACTGGTGGCAGAGAAAAGTAAATAGGACAAAACCTGCAAAACCCATACAATTATTTTAGTCTCTTTATAAATAGTCCCACAAAAACACATGCTATAATTCGCAGCAACAGCAAGTCTTACAAAGACATACCAAAAAGTTAAAAAAGGTGTTTGAGTACTACAAAAGTGTGTCACCCTCCACTGTTAGCCACTGCTCAGTCATCACAGTAATACAACCAGATTAAGATGCCTGGTTGATGTTTGGTTAAACATACATACATGTATTAGTAATGCATAGTGTCCATGCATTATTTATTTTATGTAAATGATGTAACACTTAAAATTGAATAAAAGCCTTTTATTGAAAAATGTTCTTTTTGATGTCTCTTCTTAACAAGAAACCATTCTTTATAAACTGTTGTTTCTGCTGTCAAATGCCAAAGTGTTAATCCAGGTGAAAAAGATGGGGATGATGATTAAGATAGCAATAATTAGAAGATACAAAATAATCATGTGTGTAATCAATACGTTTTAGAATTCAAAATTGTCTTTATTCAGAGTTCAGTATAACCAGGGCCGTCCCTCCCTACAGGCCGATCATGCAGGCTGCATGGGGCCTCACATTGCGCAGGGGGCCTCGGCTTATGAGCTCGGCTTGTGCGCAGTTCTCAGCGCAGTTCTCCGCTATAACTGGATGGCCTACCTGCCTGTCAGCCTTCCATCTGTGCACAAACTTATCTCGTGCCCTCATTGGTCATGTGTGTGTTGGAGGAGGGGCTCTGTAAGGAAGTGGCAGATTTTTTCCGGCTGGGTATTTTCAAATTCTAGCGCACTCGAGCTGGTTTCTCCAAAATTACCTACCCCACCTTTAACTCCTAACAGTCATCATCATGTCAACCACAACACAGAGAAATACTGATAGAAATGTGTGTGTAGTTGTTGATACATTGCTGATAGAGGGAACTACATTTGAATACAGATTTAAGAAATATCAGTTTTTGAGCATGTAATAAGCATGTCTTGACTATATTACAACTAGCCTATATTATAATAAAATAATATAGTATTTATATTATTGATTATGATTATTAATATTATTATTAGTAGTAGTAGTAGAAGTAGTTTATTTGCATTAATTATATTGGGGGGGGGGGGGGGGCTCATCTCGCAATGTTGCTTGGGGCCCCAAGTTGGCCAGGGACGGCCCTGAGTATAACCAATGTCGTTTGGATTTCAGGGAAACCCCTGGTACTGCCAAAAAACGAAAATGAAAGTAGATGAAAAGTTGTGAAAACACTGGTCTCGCAGCATAGCAAGTCATTTAAGGACGACTGTTAGTGAAAATGGCAGGCAGTACAGTATTTAGAAAAGTCTTTGCTTTGATTTTAGCAGTTTTTGTCGACATTTCCTTCTTTCATTTATCGGGGTTAGTAGTGAACCACAGGGTGTTTGGACATCTTGCGCGACTCTGGGTGTCTGCGGCTCTCCGGTGTTTGGCACTGACTGCTGTTACTCTGCTCAGCCTCAGAGATGTCCGACCGTTAGTGTTTCGGGTTATATTTACACACAGTCTGCTGCCTGCGGTGCTGGAGACCGGGACCAGAGTGCTCTACCACGAGGAGACCCAGTGTGGCATGTTGGCGGATCTGCGCTGCTGGCTGATGTGCGCCGGGGCATCGCTGGCTGGGGCTCTGTTTTGGGAGATCACCATCCCGGACACCGAAGATGCAGCCGCCGGTAAAGAGAAGAGGCAGGAAGCCCGAGTGCTGTTTGTGAGAGTCCTGCACCTGTACAGACCCGACTCTCTGCTGCTGCTGGGAGGACTTGTGTTCCTGACGCTGGCTGTTATCTGTAAGTAGGATACTATTACAGCAGGTGCTGATGATGAAGATGATGATGATGATTTCAGACATGCTAATTAAATAAAAAGTTAAAAACACATATTAATTTAATAGCTTTAAATGCATATCATTTAATTCTAAATATGGCAGTAGAATCAGTACTTTTGCAATACACATGACCATGATGATAATCTAATGATTTCAAGAAGAATATGAAGATGCAACTTTATTATTTTAAATTCAGTTTTCCACTCTGTTTTTTTACATGCACCTTATATGTACACACAAATACACAGTTATATTCACCAGCCAGACTCACCAGCGCTAGGGAGTAGTTGGGTGTCAGGGTGGGGGTGCCTTGCTCAAGGGCACCTCGGCAGTGGTGAACTGGCTCCTCTCCAGTACCAGTCCACACTCCGTATTGTTTTGGTCCGACCGGGACGTGAACCGGCAACCCTTCGGCCCTAAGTCCAAGTCCCTACAGACGGAATCACTGAGCTGATGTATCTAAATCTCTCTTTATGTTTCTGATTCGGTGTACTTGTGTGTCCCCTCAGGTCAGATGTTCATCCCGTTCTACACTGGGAGAGTCATTGACATCCTTGGCAGTCAGTACCAGCACACTGAATTCATATCTGCACTCCTCTTCATGGGGCTGTACTCTCTGGGAAGGTACGTGACACCGTTTTTTCTCCACATTCATCCAGCAGCATGTGTCGGGCTCACAGGTGAGCATCTAACTGAACTCTCTTTGATTTGTCAGCTCTGTGAGTGCAGGCTGCAGAGGAGGTCTCTTACTTTGTGCCATCAGTGCCTTCGCATGCAGAGTGAAAGCCAAGCTGTTTGGGGCTTTGACCAAACAGGAAATTGGATTCTTCGAGGCCATAAAGACAGGTAAAGATCGTATCATTTAACATGCAAAGACCCTGTATGAATAATAGGAAACTGCACATCAAGGACATGGGACTACTGTGGATCTGTAGCATACCAAACTTATTTTGTAGTAAAAAAACATTTTTAAAAAGCGATTTTTGGAAGTAGTGAATCCACTCAGAATCTTAGAAAAATACATCCAGATCCTTACATGGATTTCCCCCCCACCTCTATAAACGACAGAACAAATAAGATAAAAATAACATACAGTAGACCAACTCAAAGACAGGAGGACATTCAGACCAAAATACACCAGAGTAGCACATGACAGAAATATTTTATTATTATACTATTTTGTATTATTTTTTCTGTCTAGGTGAAATTACATCCAGGTTGTCGAAAGACACCAACTTGATGGGGAGAACAGTGGGTCTGAATGTCAATGTGCTGCTGAGGACATTCATCAAGACAATGGGCATGATCTCCCTGATGATGAATCTGTCATGGAAGCTCACATTCATCGTGTTGATGGAGACGCCTATCACTGGCCTTATTCAGAACATCTATGACACTCACTACCAGGTAAAAGCAGGTTCATAACTATATGATATCCATTACCAAACACGTTTTCTCCATCGTACTTATTTAATTGAGGTAGTGGGAAAATCACTTCATTATCCTTCTTCTTTATCCTTCCCTCAGCGCCTGTCCCTTGCGGTGCAGGACTCAATGGCTCTGTCAAATGAAGTTGCGAATGAGGTAGTATCCAGTATTCATGCGGTCCGGAGCTTTAACACAGAAAAACAAGAGGCTCAGCGCTATGACGACCGCCTGATGGAAACACACACACTGAGGACCCGCCGGGACACTGTCAGGGCCGTTTACCTGCTCGCACAGAGGGTGAGAAGTTTTGAATGTTTTGGAGAATTGTGTTTTTTGGAGACCGGTGTTGCTCCCTTAATTGTATATCACCCTATTAAACAGTTGTTCTTCCTGTGTGTGTGTGTGTGTGTGTGTGTGTGTGTGTGTGTGTGTGTGTGTGTGTGTGTGTGTGTGTGTGTGTGTGTGTGTGTGTGTGTGTGTGTGTGTGTGTGCGTGCGTGTGTGTGTGTGTGTGTGTGTGTGTGCTTACAGTTAACAGGGCTGGTCATGCAGGTCCTCATGTTGTATTATGGCCGGCTGTTCATCCGGAGTGGACAGATGACCACTGGCAACCTGGTTTCCTTCATCCTCTACCAGTCAGAACTGGGAGACAACATCAGGGTAAATACACTGCTTTGTTTTAATGAGCATACACATACACTAGACTAATTTTAAGGTGATTGAAAGAAATGTTCCAAGGTTACTTATAAATAAAATTAGCTTTCATGTCATCAAGAAGGAGAGTCTGTTGGCTAATAGCTTTAAGCATGTCTAATGAAAGTGTCAGGCCATGTCCCAAAATGCTTGCTCACACTCATATTTCCATTTGACATACTGCAACTCTGAATCCATAAATAAAATAATGTGATCATTTTTATGACTGCCTTGTTTCAGACACTTACCTACATCTTTGGTGATATGATAAACTCGGTGGGGGCTGCTGGGAAGGTCTTTGAGTACCTGGACCGAAAGCCTCAGGTCAGCACGGAGGGAAAACTCAAACCGGATCAGCTGACAGGAGACGTCAGCTTCCGTGGCGTCAACTTCGCCTATCCAGCATACCCCAACAAAAGAGTGCTGCAGGTGAGGCCTGAATGCAAGGTATTAAAAGGGGAATTCTTCAGTTTGGATTTGTACATTTCTTGATTTTTTTAATGACATTTATTGTGGAAAATAAACAATATGGTAATAGAAAATGTGGATTAATTACTGAGTATCGCCTTAAAATGTATTTACAGTTACCTATGAAGTCATGCATAGATTACAGACATATTACACACACCACACTCAGATTTATATGTTCATTGTCACCTTCAGGACTTCTCTTTGGAGCTGAAGGCAGGTCAGATGACGGCACTGGTGGGTCCATCCGGAGAAGGGAAGAGCACCTGTGTGAGTCTGCTGGAGCGGTACTATGAGCAGCAGGATGGAGAAATCCTATTGGACAATGAACCACTGAAGTCTTATGACCACCGTTTCCTCCACAAGAAGGTAATAAACCATTACTGCTTTTTCAGAAGATGTTCCACCCTTTTCTCTCTTTTCTCTGTGATCTAATTGTTTGATATTTCCTTAATTTACTACATCAGTCTTAAACGATTAAACTGGGAGACATCTATTGTTAATGAAGTACAGACAACAATTTAAACATATTTAGACAAGAATGCAGTTCATCAGTGACCCAGGGCGCGTAATGGGTGATGGGCCTGATGAGTCGACTCACTGGAAGAACTTAGGTGATACACACCTGCTGAATACACCAAGTGTATGTCCTTTTTGAGGGCTAAACTGTACAAATGTAGGCAAGCACTAAGCATTCATCCTACAATGCCCTCAAATGATCTTTCCCTCCAACTTTCTGAAGACTTTCTTATTGTTTGGGCCATCAAGAACAAGCTAAAATCAATGCATATCTAATTGTGACAGAAGATTCTACTGTGGATTTAGTTTTCATATATTATGAGTTATTTATTCAGCTGATGAGAGTGTGTTTTATAGATTGCAGTGGTGAGCCAGCAGCCTGTGCTCTTCTCAGGCTCCATCAGAGACAACATCGCCTACGGGGTTGCTGAATGCTCATTGGATGAGATCCAGGAAGCAGCACGCAAAGCCAACGCCCATGACTTCATTAACCAACTGGAGAAAGGATATGACACAGGTAAACTCTTTTAACCAACCTACATGCCATTGTATATGCCTGAGAGCCTACATACAGTAAAAACGTGAAAGATCAAATTTGGTTAAATGAGACAAGACATTTTAAAAAAAACCATATTATTTATTTATTTTGTACGATAATCTACTAACCTTTATTATTTGAAATACTAAATCCTCCTGTCTTTTCTGCATCTGCGTCACAATTTGAACCTCAAGCTGTTATTGATGTTATTTTATAATGTCCTTTTCTCAGAGGTGGGTGAGGGTGGCGGGCAGTTAGCCCAAAGCGAGAGGCAGCGGATCGCCATTGCTCGAGCTCTGGTCAGACAGCCACAGGTCCTCATTCTGGATGAAATTACCAGCTCTCTGGACCCTGAGAGCGAAAATAAGGTATGCAGCATCTTCTAACCGCAGTGTCCGTTTGTGGTCCCTTCAAGGCCGCAAGCGTCTGGGCTCCTATTGCAAACAAGTTTCTTAACTTAAGTTAAATAGTGAGTTATGTAGATAAAGACCTGAAGACCCTTTAATATACCATTTATTGTCCGCAAGTGTTCTCCTGTTGCCCAAACAATAGGTGGTCATTTCTGATTTAAATCATAGATATATTTATGTGCTGCACAGGTGTTAAAAAAGTGCTCACAGATTGGTCAGTTTTTCTATAAAGAAGTTGTCTGTCTTACAGTTTCTATAATTACAATCAAAACTTGATTTACATTAAATATTCACATTTGTATTGCTCAACAGATCAAATATATATATATGCAAAAATAAAGCCTTGACAAAAAGATTGATTTGCATTGCTTCCCTTAAATATCTGTTGATTGTTATGTGTACCTGCTTAGGGCCTGCGTATGTAAATGAGCTAATAGCTTAATCTGGCATAAATCCTCTCTTTTCTTTTGAAATTAATGTTTTTTTATACATGGTCAGTTCATATGCTCATGTATGAACCTTCATGGGAGGTAGTTACCAGACAAAATCAATTATACACCTCCAATTTATTTCACTGCTCTAAAGATAAAAGACAATTTAGTCATGATAAACTATATTATTTATGACCGATGATAAAAACAAATCCACTGTTATACATGAATTCTTTAATGTCTCACTGACAACCAATCATATTCATTCATATTCAATACATTACATCGTTTCATCAGACCTTTAGTGTCTCATTCAGAAAATTATAAGTAATATGACTTAATGTAGCGTCTACCTAAAAACAATCCACTGAAAGACAATGAAATAATGCATATTTCTGTCATTGACTATGCACAGATTCAGCAGGCCCTGGCTAGTTGTCCCAACCAGACTCTGCTGGTGATCGCTCACAGGCTGAAGACCATTGAGAAGGCCCATCAGATTGTCCTGATCGGGGACGGCCAAGTTCAGGAGCGAGGGACTCACCAGGAACTGATGGAGGAGAAGGGGAGATACTACAAACTGAGAGAGAAGCTGTTCACCGAGGGAAACTCCCCTCAATGATAGACAGCCGCCACTGAGCAGAGGCTCAATGTGTGGAAGATAATTGTTCTGTATATAAATGCAGCATGTATTTCTTTTGTAAATATTGAAAAAGAAAGAATGGGCCTGTACGTTGTTTGAGATATATATTCTGTAACGTGACCTAATAGTTTACTTTAAATCATATTTATTTTGAAATCACCTTTTGTATTGTAAAATCCTTAAATTCAATACATTCCATTTTCTCATAGATGTGTGACCACTATAATTTAGTTCCATTTCATGTCCTTGTATAAATGTTTGACATGACAGCACAACATTAAAATATTCCTTTATTATCAGACCGGCCAAAGGTTATCTCACAGGTGTGTCCAAATAAAAGATTGATCACCAGTATCAGACGTTTTGATTATTGTCTCAGTTAACTCCTGCTATAACACCAGTCAAACCATATCTAAATGTTTTTGAGGTTTTTTTCAAACTATTCGTCACATATTGATATCTATGTCCTTTTAACCATGAATAATTTCTATTCATGGAATAAAATTAAATCCAGAGCAGTATGTTATGTACAGTACAACAATGTGCATTTAGTTGCAACCTTTAGTTAGGTTTGGTTTATTTGTTAATTCTACAGTGAAAATTCCAAAATGTGTAGGTTTATAGGCGTACAAACTTAATTCACCTGTCTTGATTTATACTGGGCTGTTGGGTGAATAGAAACCAAAAGATGAACTCAAATAATTTTAACGAGCATGGTAATTCAACATTAATTTGACTGGTTAGACATCAGAGGTATTGAGGATATGTTTTCTTTTTTTATCATATATTTATTTCTGGTTTTAAACTGCTCAAACACAATGGAGACTGTGTTTTATTGTCAGAGCTGACCTGGAAAGTCCCTGGCAAGAAGCATTTTTTTTCGGGCAATGAGGCCGTTTGGAAAGATGCCTGATGATATGTGTCATAAACATCAGAGGCACAGGGAAGTGAAATGCAGCATTATGTCAAAACAGCAATCGCCTCTATCAAAGATTTGGCTTAGTTTATACAACATTGAGCACCATTTTGTAAAGACACGTGTGTGCATCCACAAAATGGTGACTGGATTCACGAGCCACGTTTGGCATTTGTTTCTCCTGCAGTTTAATGACTGCCAGGACTGAGTTTCATGCACACTTATATTTCAAATATCTCAAGTTCAGAAAAGTTTTCCCCAATATTTGCTTGCATTTTCTTAATTTATAATCAAGTTATTTTCATGTTCTAACAGTCACTGGATGATTAATCATGCTTATCTATGAAACTGCATCTGCTGTTTTTTTATTTACATCTTGTTGAATAGAAAAAAGTTTAGTGGTAGGGCTGAAAACGAAACTATTTCTCATTGTTATTCTTTATAACCTGACAGTTATGAGATACAATCGGGCATGGCGACTCTAACCTGTCAGCTTTGTTTGCCGCCTGCGGGTTACAAAGGCAGGAGGGCACAAAGTGGAAGAGCAAATGTCAAAATGTGGCGCCATCTTAGGATGAGACCTTTAGAAACCTAAACACCAAATGGAAGACAGTGGACATAGAAAGTCAGAACATGTAGTAGAGTAAGAGGCAAATAAAAGATGATATAGTGAGTGGCTGTATCCATTGCTATGGGTAAAAACCTTTTTAATCCCCAAACCTCAGTATGCACCATATATTCTGTGTATGTGATGTTTTTGGATGTGCTTTTGTGCCAAGAAGCTTTTGCATAACCAGTTCTGCACCATACTGCCGCACCGCCACTGCCTAGCTGGAAAGTCCTTTCTCTTCTTTCTTTCTTTCACTTTCTGCCATTCCTGCACTGTGTATTTAGTTGGACTCCTCCACACCACAGCCAAGGTCTTGTGACTGAAAGCATTGTGCTGTGATTGACACGCTTCTGCCATTTTACCCATTCAGAGCAACAGTTAGATGGATTTGGTTAGGTGACACTTTGACGGTGCAAGTTTTAAGTGAATAAAGTGTGTCAGTGTTTTTCTTCAACAGTGCCAAAGGGCCAGAGTAGATGTATGCTTTTTCAACTGATTATACAGTATTTTGTAATGTTACTGTTATTCAAATCCTAATCTGTAAATGAAAACATACTATATTTTAATGTGGTGAAGTAAAAATATACTTTATTTTGTATTCTCTAAAATGTTGTAGAGTAGAAGTATAATGCAGCATAAAAGCAAATACTAATTGAGTACTAGTTATGTTTTACCACTGCAAGATAATCAAATAAATAACTGCATTTTTAGTCTATTGTTTATTTTGTTTTCTATTTTCTGTCACTTGAATACACGAAGAGAGTCACAAGACAGCTTAGCTTCACTGTAACCTAAAACCTGCTTCTCTTTTCCTCTTTAAACCAAATGTAAAGAGTAACTGATGCAGCATAAAGCACAACAGAAATGACACCTATCTTGATTCTTTACACCTTGGCTCACTTTGTTTGACAGTTAAAATCAATTTGAATAGAGCACGACAGACAGGGGAAACATACTATAAAAAGTATTTACAATTAAAATGATATAGTCACACAATAATAATTTAGATTTTTACTGAGCAGGGAGATCTTTGTACTGCTTCATGGTCAGGTAAAACCCCACTGTCTTTTATTTAAATCCCCTAATTTCCCCTGGGGAGTGTGGCAATTGATACATTGCAACTTCTTATGTCACTAAAAACAAAGCAACCCTAAGATGTGAAAAAGCCTAGGTGGTGTAACAGCTCCCCGGTTGGTTGCATTTGGCACTTTCACCAAGTCATGTGATTTCCTGGAAACAGCCTGCCTGGCAGATTGGTAATAAATAGTAGGGGATTTTCAGATGACCAAGCAAAAGTTGAAACCATTGCTCCTGAGTGCCATCTAGTGAGAGCAATACAAAAATACAGGCTACTGCAAATCAAAAAAATATATGGTCAGGTCCACAGAAAACCACACCAACGAGAGGCACAGCAACATTTGAAGCCATAGACATTACATTACATTGCATTTAGCTGACGCTTTTATCCAAAGCGACTTACAATAAGTGCATTCGACCAAGAATGAGCCAAAACAGTTCAAGTGCTACTTCAACTGGCTTTAGATAAACCAGTCCTTTGTTAATATATAAGTACTTTGTTAGCAATTTTATTGCTCGAAGTGGAGTCGAAAGAGATTAGTTTTTATCCTGCGCCGGAAGATGTGTAAACTCATTCCACCATTTTGGAGCCAGGATAGCAAACCGATGTGTTTTTGCTGATGGGAACTTGGGTCCCCCTCGCAGTGCAGGTGCAGCGAGCCATTTGGCTGATGCAGAGCGGAGTGCACGTGCTGGGGTGTATGGTTTAACCATGTCCTGGATGTAGGATGGAAGGGCCAGATCCATTCACAGCATGGTACGCAAGTACCAGTGTCTTGAAGTGGATTCTAGCAGTGACGGAGCTTACACACGGCGGCTTGCATTGAAGCTTGCCGACGGGCATGTCTGACGCTCGACCAACAACCAATCACATGAATCTCCCGCCCCGGACACACAAGCAGCGGTTTCATTGGCTAGAGCAGTGGTTCCCAACCTGGGGGGCGCCAAAGATAGCAGGGGGGGCGCCAGGCCTCAGATGATTTGAGGCCAAATATCATATTTAGACTTTTTTTTTTTTTTACATATAATTGTAAAGCAATACATGATTGTCACTAAAAGCCTTGTCTCTACATTACAATAAAATATAAAAAATAATTGATTAATTAATTTGAATAACAATTCAACTTAGTAGCTATTAAAGGCGTAAAAAGACAGAAATGTATAATTCTTTCTTTAATAGAAATGTTTCTTCTGCCCGTAAAGTGTCCAAACATACTTCATAAAAATATTTTTATATTTTTATGTCTATGACTTAAATAACACAAACTCCAACACAATTTCTTTGAAATGCCTTTAAGCATATGTTTAATGAACTTTTCAACATCTTAAAACTGTTTTCCTCTCTGTGACCCTGAGTAAAATTAAGTAAAAAATAAAATAAAAACTACTAAAACTTGTTTGTTCTGATATTTGAGACCGATAATCGGTCAAATGCGGGATGTCGGCCTCGATAATTGGCCAGGCCGATAATCGGTCGACCGCTAACCTGAATCCTCCCACACTAGTGATGTTAAGATTCGCATCGGTGCACCGGCATAAATGTTCAAGATGCGAGTGCACCGGTTGAAAGTGCACATCGGCTACAGTTTGGGTTGAACTCGCGATGCATCGATTGTGGCGTCATTTGCATCGGTAAAAACTGATTAATTGATATCATATTATTCACTCATCCACTTGTCAGCACTCTGCAGAGACGATCTTCGATCTTTGCTTCGCTACTACGGAGCCCGCGAGACGCGTCAGTTATCAACAAACATGGAAGTCGAGGAGAACGAAATACACAGTGCTCACGGCCGGCACCGCCCTGAATGTGTTCTTAAAACGGCATCATTGAAGTTGTGCTGACAGGCGACAGAGATCCACCTTGTCCCCGCAGCGAGGTTACCCCCCCCCTCCCCGTTGACAATTCACCGCACCCCCTAACGGCCCCTACACACGGCGGCGTGCGTTACCGCTTGGCGGTGGGCGTGTCTGAAGCTTGGGGATTTTTTACGAACAACGAGACCAACAACCAATCACATGAATGTCCCGCCCCGGACATACAAAGCAAAGCATTCATGCTACATCGATGCTGGCTAAATATACTGTCTATGCTTGCTAGCTGTCCATTCAAACGAAGTACACTGGATATAAAATCCCCAAACAGGCGAAAACCTACCAGTTTCACCCACTGTCTCTGCCACCTCCCTCCATGCCTGGCTCCTCCGGTTTGTATCCCTGTATGTAAAGAGGGACTGGTCATATAGTACCGCCACGATCTTTTTCTCCTCCATTTTTTGACATATGGGAAATAACTGCGGTCTGGCTCTCCCAACATACACGCGGTTTGATTGGCTAGCGCTTGGAATGTCAGATTTGCATACGCGGGATTTGATTGGCTGACGCCTCCGTCGAGGCGGCAAAAGTAGAACATTGCTCTACTTTTGCAGCGAGCGCCGCGAGAGAAGCTACGCTTTGCTCCCACAATGCAGTTCGGCGAAGCGGCAACGCACGCCGCCGTGTGTAGGGGCCGTAAGTCCAATGACTTCCCGCGCCTATGTAGTGACAGCTAAGCGCAGGTTGCTTCATCCTGATCATGTTGATCAACTAATATTCCTGAAGAAAAACCTGCAAGCTAGACATATGAGTTAAATCACTCAGTGAGGTGTTATGTCAGTGAGAGTGGTTTTTATTTTACAGAAGCCTGTGACTGCCAATAATAGTTTAATTGTCTTGCTTACAATTGTAAGCAGTTATTAAGACCTATTTGTGAAA